GTTTTAAATAAACAATCATTTATTTTATTTTATCTCTCATAAAAATAAAATAAAATAAATTTCTCTCTCCTCCCTTTTTTCTTGGAAACGTAATCTCTTTTCTTGGTAATATCCTTTTTTACTTGGTATATACCTCACTCTCTTTCCTGGGATCAGAAAAAAAAAACCTCCATCTTTTTTTCCCTCTCTCTCTCTCCAGTATGAATTCTCTACTCCATTTTTATTCCATTTTCATTTTTCTTAAAACTAATATGTTTTGAGGGATCCCTTAAATAGAAGCTCTCTGTATATTATATATGTAATTCAAGTAGTTATGTATTCAGTATCTTATTTGTGCATTTGTTCGTAGTCAACAATTCATTGGTTTTAAGTCTATTCATACTTTCTTTTTGTTTTAATTATGATTTGCATATGTTGTATGACAAGAAGCAATACATGAAGAACGCTATCACCGCCAACTACAGTAGTCAAGAACTTATGGTTGCAATTTTTAAAACCGTCGTCCTCTTATCCTTATTCTAGACGATCCAATCGTAGAGTGATTTGGTGATTGAAAAAGCAGTCCCCGTGTTAGAGATGCAGTGATTTACAAACGGAGAAAATAAAATATTTTTTAGAGATGCAGTGCAAAAGTTTATGCCGAACAATATAACCTTTATTGGTGTTTTGTCCGCTTGTAACCATTGTGGTCTGGTAGAGGAAGGGAAAAGATGGTTTAAAGGAATGGAGGGCTTTGGGCTTATCCCCCAAATTGAGCAATTGAGCAATATGGTTGGATGGTTGATCTTTTGGGAAGGGCAGGATGCTTGGAGGAAGTCGACAAATTGATTGAGAGAATTCATAAGGTTGGTTTGCAGTTACCGAAGAGAAAGCGATGGAGGTTTTTTTTTCTGATCCCAAGAAGGAGAGAGAGAGAGAGGTATATACCAAGTAAAAAATGACACTATTAAGAAAAGAGATTACGTTTCAAAGAAAAAAGGGAGGAGAGAAAAATTTATTTTATTTTATTTTTATGAGAGAGAAAATAAAATTAATGATTGTTTATTTAAAACATTAAAACTATTTGTCATGTCAGATTTAATCTCAACCATTAAAAGTAGAATAATCTAATAGCCCAAAGATTGTGTCAAAACTTGTGTAAAAAACATGGTGCCACGAATCCGTCCCCATATATATAATCTCCCCAAAATCCCAAAATCCCGCGAGACAACGCACACTTCATTTATTTCTCGCTCTCTCAGTCCTACATGGCCAGCAGCGTGTCCCCCGATGACGACGGCGACGACGTTTTATTCGCCGTCTCCGAGCTACGTCGCGAGCTCATGGAAGCCGAATCCCTAGAGTCCGACATGGATCTCGCCTTTAACATCCAAGTCCAAGAAACCCTCGCCGCCTCTCTCGCTCTCCAACCATCTTCCTCCTCCACCCAATCCCCCCGAAACGACGCCGTTCCGACCATCCCCAACACCCCAACCCACGTTTCCCTCAAGTCCCAAGAACTCATAAGAATGGAGCAGGAATTGAAACACGGCGAAATTGAAATGCGGAAAGCCAGAGAGGATCTCAACCGTCGGATTCACGATGATCAGGTCGCGAGGGAGATCAAGAAGATTCCAGAGGACGATTGGCAAGAGTCCGGCGAACTCTTTGCCAAACCCTTCGGCGAAGGCTCCTCGTCGTCGTCGTCGACAAAGAGGGACGAGAGTGAGAGCGTGTTCAGGCTCTACTTCAAAGGTTTGGTGACCGAGGAAATGGTTGGAAATGAGAGAGTGGTGCTGGCTGGGGTTGGGGTTGCGCTATGCGACTCCAGGAATAATTTGGTGTTCGAGGTTTGGAAACCACTGATTGG